CAATGACGGAAAACGAAGTCCAGACCTGTATGTTTTATGACACAGAAACGTACATCTGCCCTTTAAAGGGTCCAGTTCATCAAATGAGGTCAGATGAAAACCTCTGCATTAGAGAAAATAAATCTAATCGTTGCAGGACTGCATCTACTATCTGCACAAATCATTGGACAGAACTTAATAAAATAAATACATATCTCTATTTTTGTTGCGGACTGTGCTCCATAAGAATCATGTGCGAATATCAAGTTACGGCCGAACAATTAACTAAGGCCGGCGTTATCATGCTCGGAAATGGATGCGTCATCAAAGGCGATACTTACACAGTTTATTCACATAAACTACTATCCAATACTTTGAAGACTACGGCAGACGTTCTGAGAATAGATATCCCACCCATCAACAATATAATCAATTTATCAATACCTATTGGTGCAATTAATGAACAGTCTGAGCATACCCACATCGAGACCCAAGGTCTAGTAAAGAAAGTCCACGATCAGTTGAGTCAGATGAAAGATTCAACGAGCATTGATGAAGATTATAACGACGGGTTCTCATATCACGACTTGCATCATTACACGGTGATATACTTATTGGCGTTCGCCCTGTGTGCGGCAGGAGCCGTGCACGTGTGGCGGCGTCTTCGGCGTGTGCGCAGCGTGGCTCTGCCCGCGCGCTCGCCTCGTCAGCAGCTTCAGAGTGCTAGTGTAATTAGTGTAAATGAGCTATCGGGACCCGGTGATATTGAGCTCAGTGCAATTTCAAGTGCGTGTAAACAAAACAGGGCTACATCGCCTATGTTACGTGAATCTGTTTTAAGTTAAAATAAATAACACTTTTATAGACTTTAAGTTTGTGTGTCAACCAATATTGTGCTCTCTATTATTATCATTGTCTTTTTAAATTCTTACATTTACGTATGTTATTTTTTGATTTTTTATCTTAGTCTCTCGTGCCTGGGAGCATGTACGGTCCACCCGTACAATTATTGGAATATTGTAGAATAAGTACTTTTGTACCGCGAGCGCACTTTACTTCAGTTCGCGTTCGATTCTCGCCGCGGTTACTCATTTGTATCATGTAACTATCATTAAAGTTATATTATCACTATATCATCGTATCATTTGTAGTTGTCCCGTACACCTACAGTAGTTATCAGCTGATGGGCTGATCAGCTGGCTCGTAATTCGTAATACTAAATGCGTATCCTGCTGAATAGGTACAAACAATTTAAGACTGAGTGTCCTTAGAGACGGAATGTACAAGTAAATAAATTACACATGTACCTGTGTCACTCGGAGTCGGATTTCGTTCGAAGTCTTCATCTTCGTAATCTTCCTATGCACAGCAACACAGTTACGCACTACGTCACTGATTGCACTATGTATGCAACACCGCGGCACTTGTTTTTAATATGTTTCAAGCACTGATCACTTGCAGTCTCTGGGCAACAGCCAGCATGCATGACTCATGTTATGGCTGTGTTGGAAGTTTAGGTACAATGCGAATAGCTCGCTATAGGTTGTTTTCGCCGCGAAGGAACGGTGTCCGGCTCGAAATGCAGAAGAAGGAACGGGGTGGTTTTTAGTCAGTAAGTCTCAAGGCGAGAACAGTCATTCGATGATTTTCCCGCCAAAAAAAATTGGTTGTTTTCACTGCAACTGGTGGCATAAAGATAACTATCTCGACTAAATTTCTGTTATCATTAACACATAAACAGCGAACTACGAACTTTGATAATAATTAGTGACACGAAGTTCAAGGTCATGCGAAACAATTTCGCTAACGACCTCCCCCGGCAGTGCCGAAGCAGAAACTGAATGCGTGTGCGTGTGCGCTGTAGGGGTGAGAGTACTAGGGGGTGGAGCCGCTGGAGGGTTCGCGTTTCTTATTTTCTTATTGGAATTGGAATTTTAGGGAATTAGGAATAATATCAATTACGTGTTTGAGTTTGTGTGTGTTGAGCCGCGTTATAAAGCTAGTTACAAGACGCCGCGGCGTGTAGTTCGCACTTACGGATTTCCGTAATTTACAGAAAAATGAACTGGGTGAGGGTGAGCAGAGAATCCTCCTGGACTATAAGCTAAAAATGGCAGTCAAGAATAGAGATGCGCCGGTTGTGGGCGCCCTTCTGGGTGGGGAGTGGGGACGGTTCGTAAAGCCGTACAACTGCTGAAAAGGTCCAGATTAAAAAAAAAATAATCATGGATTAGAGTGGTTGTGTACATGTTTTGGTGTGTTCGCTAAAAATTGTATCTATTAATAACGTAATTAATGTAAAGTAATATAAGTTTATTAATAAGACTAATAAAAACCACTAGCACTACTGCAATTGGCTTACTGCCGCGTGTGCGGGGACGTCATGCATTCGTAAATGTTCTACAGTCGGTGGCGCTGTGGGCTGGCTCGTTCCGTTCCCTACGAAATGGTTGCTCGGACCGATTGCTGGCCTACACGTCATACCCGTGAACCCTTCTGCTGGAACAGGTCGGCTCGCTCATCGTGCTGGTGGGCTGATTCAGTTGGGTTAGTGTAAGATATTAAGATTATAATAATTAGGTAACAACATAAAGTACTGTGTGTAGTGATATTAGAGGTTGACGTAGCATGTAAGATCTTTATAAAAAATATTTGTAAGGTTAATTAACTAAGATGTGGCTGTTTTAGATAATTACTATGTACCTAAACATGAATATTATTTAAACACATAAATGTAAAAGCATATTAAAATATAAATGATTATAATTTAAATACAATATTGAAATTAAGTTATGGCAACACTGACATGATTTGTTAACTTTTTAAAGTGAAGTGAAATGTAAGGTATTCTTATTTTGATCGTCGAATCGAACACTTGTCTTATAATAAACCGAACGTTGGAATCTCTGTTTAATTTCTTCGATAAAGAGTGGATCCTTTATATTTGACCATGAAAATCATGGTTATTTTTATACTTTATAGTTCGACGTTTGGCCACCATCTCGCCTGATGGTAAGTGATGATGTGGCCGACGATGGAGCACGCCTACCTATGAGCAACCTGTTCACTCGGGACTTGAAGACACCCAAGTCATATTTGACGGGAAACACAGCCTCTGGCAAGGAATTCCATTCCTTAGCGGTTCGCATGAGGAAGCTTGAGGCGAAACGCTTCGTGCGGATGGGTGGAATGTTCACCGTATAAGGGTGGCGTCCCGCCGTTCGTCTGGAGGTACGGTGGTGAAATGGACTAGGGGGAATAAGTTTGTGCAATTCCCACGCACACTCACCGATATGGATCCGTCTTTGTAATATGACAAGGGCAGGGACATAAGACCGTGGATAAATTCAATTTATTTATTAAAAAAAAAACCCAGCGCTGTATCCTTACTTCCTTACTATACTATACTATATACTATATACTATATACTATATATACTATACTATACTATACTATACTATATACTATACTATACTATATACTATACTATACTATACTATATACTATATACTATACTATACTATATACTATATACTATATATATAATATTATAATAATAATATATAATATAATATTATAAATCTGAAAGTGAGTTTGTTTGTTTGTTTGTTTGTTCCACCATCACGCCGTAACTACTCAACCGATTGCTTTGAATTTTTGCAGACGTAAAGTTAGAAGTCCGGATTAAATAATAGGGTACTTTATAACCCGGAAAAATTGATATTCCCGAGGAAAAAACAAAAGTATTGGTATAGATGGCGCTGTGTTGGTATATGTCACATAGGCTACTTTTTATTCTTTTGTGACGCGAGCGAAGCGGCGGGTAAAAGCTAGTTTAATATAAATAACAGATGCAACTCAAAATGGAAAACAGATGTGAAAAAATTTGAATTTGGAAGAATATAATATAATATATAATATAATAATATTATAAATCTGAAAGTGAGTTTGTTTGTTTGTTTGTTTGTTCCACCATCACGCCGTAACTACTCAACCGATTGCTTTGAATTTTTGCAGACGTAAAGTTAGAAGTCCGGATTAAATAATAGGGTACTTTATAACCCGGAAAAATTGATATTCCCGAGGAAAAAACAAAAGTATTGGTATAGATGGCGCTGTGTTGGTATATGTCACATAGGCTACTTTTTATTCTTTTGTGACGCGAGCGAAGCGGCGGGTAAAAGCTAGTTTAATATAAATAACAGATGCAACTCAAAATGGAAAACAGATGTGAAAAAATTTGAATTTGGAAGAATAAACAAACCATCCATTCCCGATACTTTTTTGACTGAATGTAGTTCCAGTGTAGTTATAGCCAGACGTGGCTGCAATAGACAGACGGTCGGCTCCTCCCTGACGCCCAGTAGACAGGGCCCTCGTGTTTAGAGCACCCACCTGTCTTCCACCCCGGTGTGTCGTGTTGGTCGGCTCATCTTAAAACAAAGGAATATCGGGACTACCAGTTTCTCGTTTCCTTGCATCCAGCGGCGACCGTTGAATACCAGAGTATTTCCAAGCCGGCTGGACCATTCAGCACTACACTATACTGTCTAGTACTTACGCAGTTTTGCGCCGAGTACTAGTCCAGGCAGGCCATGATGCGGGTCGTGAACTGGGAAGTTGCCTCCTCCTTCTGCGAAGCAGTTACGCTGTAGCTATGGAGCAGGCGGACCACGTGAAGTGTAGAACATGCCTCCCCACGTCCCAGTCAGCGCAGGAAAAGCAGTTTTAAGGAAATGTTGAAACAGGGTGGTTTTTAATAGTCAGTAAGAGTTAGTCACTCCCTCCCGAGTCATTTGATGACTTGCCACCCAAGAACAGAGCGCCATAATCGGTATTTGCAGGCGGCGGTCGTGTAGCTAGCGGCTGTACGTTTGTGTGTGTGTGTGTGTGTACACACGGGTAAATGAACACACGAGTCACAGTTTGAACAATAATATATATTTAAGTCAGCACAAGTACATTACACACACATACACATGCAAGTTATCCACATAGTCCCCGCACAGCACACTAATGTGTCACTGCTCGCCCGGCGGGTCAGTGCTCGAGTCTGCGCTCGCGTCCGGCCCGGCCTCGCCCTGCGGGGGAACATTACGACATTACAGTAAAGTTGTAATTGACATGTCAATATTTGTATCAGCGCTAGCGTGCAGTGTGTCACCTTGTCTTTGTCCTTGTCGACGTCGAGTGAGCTCCGCGACAGTTGGCGCAGGATGTTCTCGAAGATGCGCGGCGCGCTGCGGGTGTTGGGCAGCGATATGTCGGTCTGCGTGGTGGCGGAGGCGCTGGGGGGCGCGGCGGGCGCGGGGGGCGCGGGGGGCGCGGGGGGCGCGGTGTCCTGCAGGTCGAGGCGCATGTCGTGCTTGCGCTTGTTGCGCGCTTGCCGCTCGATGGCGCGCGCGAGCACTGCGCCGAGCAGGTGCGCGCACTTGATGACGCTCTGCGTGTCGCGCGGCGACAGAGTGAGGCCGTGCTGGCGGATGATGTCGGCGAGCAGGTCGCGGTCGGGGGCGCGGCGCGGACTGTCCAGGTCGGGCGGCAGGCTGGGCTCCGTGAAGTCGGCCAGGTCGAGCGTGTCGGTCCGGTACGGCGTGGGGCACTGGTCGTAGTAGCTCTGCACCGGCACGTGCGGCATCGAGTTGTTGTAGTTCGCCCAGAACGAGCACCACTCGCCGTCGCAGGGCGCGCGCGCCCCCGCCCCCGCCCCCGCGCTCCCCGCGCCCCCGCCGCTCTCCACGGCCGTGTCAGTCTCGCTGCACTCCGGCCACGTGCTCACGCAGCAACTGGAACGACCGCGAGGCGAGCAACAATAAGTGAAATCTTTGAAAACAGTCGTTATATATATACAGTATACAATGTACGTAGCTAGGTATGTGGTGTACCTGGAGACGAGCTGGTCCCGTGAGCCGCGCGAGGGCGAGAGCTCGGCGGAGGACTGGCCGGAGTACTCAGGGGACACGGAGGAATAATCCACCTCAAGGGGCGCAGGGGCGGGGGCGGGGGCGCGGCGCATGCGGTGTGGTGCGCTCTGCACGGACGCGCTGCGGGCCTGGGGGCGCGGGGGGCGCGGGGTCGACGTCGCCAGCGCCTGGATCTACAATCACAGAAATCAATAAACATTCACATTCAGAGTCTCATCGTCGTACGGGTTACCGGGGCTCCGGCTCGACGTGCAGGAGAAGGAACGGGGTGGTTTTTAGTCAGTAAGAGTCTGACACTCCCTTCTGAAGAGGTCGAAATTGGTCAATCAAAGTCGAACAATATCTGTGACTAAGATAAAACTTATAATCCCGAACTTCGTTGATAAACCTGAAATCTTATACTACCTCTACTATTTATTTATTTTTTATTCTATAAATAACTAATTAATACTAAAATATTTACACCTTAAAAAATAATAATAATGAAAAAATAATAATACCTAATGAAAAAATAATAATAATGAAAAAAAAATAAATAAATTATAAGGCATCAAAGAAAATATTTTCCTCATCGCTACCGTGAGGTAGGGTGCCCAAAAGACTGGCAGCATTGCCACGTTGAATGGCAATGCTTAACCTTTGCCCAAGGTAGTAGCCAGCCCTTCGATCACCTGAAGTGTCAACCATCCTCCTTACAATATCTTTGTAAAGATGTGCACTTGGGCCCCACGGCCCTAAAGTTTCAACCCCAAACGGTTCGAAAGCATAATTGCCAATCAGGCTATTATACTTTCGCCGTTTGAGGTTCTCGGCAGCGGCAGCGGCAGCACCGGCTCGACACGCTGAGCTTGGAAGATGGGATGGCGCCAGAGTATCAACGCAAGTGGCGTCCCATACTAAAGCCCTACCCATCTTCCAAGGGAATAATGACATACCGTCGGGTCTCTTGCCATCGTCGCGTACCAAGCCATTAGGTTCTAAAGTAGCTGGCACGCCAACGGAGGCAAGAGCTCGACGAATTATGTCATTAATACTTGCGTGTCGAGCAAAACGGCCCGCACTACGGCTACATGACAAGCCGTGGTGTCCAAGGCTGTTGACAACTTCACCACAACGACAACGATGAGGTGAACAAAATGAAGCTCCAAGCCTTAAACAAATTGCAGCGCGGAACGTGGTGTCGTCCAACAAAGTACCTAGGTTAGACGAAGGTAAAGCAAGAAGCCATAACCCCGACTCCCACTCACCCACAGCCAAAAGGCGAGCTCTCTCTGCAGTTGAACAAGAGGAGTTCAAAAGATTTTCGCTCACTTTTCTGCAGAGCGGCTCGTCCCATTGTGACTAAGTGGTTTTACAGTCAGTAAAGCTGCTGATTGCGAAGTGAGTTTAGGTGTATGAAGCTCCTGGTGTCTCCACTCATGACAATGGTTATAATAACGTCTGGTGGGAGTTTCCATCACTCCACTTGTTGTGGTGCTTTTAAACACTAGATTTGCTCCATCTTTTGCTAGCAATGTCGTAGTAGCTCGGAGGTTTAAAACGCCTGCTTCTCAACCACGAAGGTGCGGGTTCGAAACCTACCAACGGCAAGGAACAATGTGACTTTTTCCGAGTAATATGTACTTTCTAAGATTATCTAGACACCACTGACAAACGGTGAAGGAAAACATCGTGAGGAAACCTGGGCTTATAATATCTAATCATAAGTTTGAAATCGCCAACCCGCATTGAGCAAGCGTGGTGATTAATGCTCAAACCTTCTCCGTGTGAGACGAGGCCATTGGTCAGCGGTGGACACTTATAGGCTGTTGTTGAGTGAAAAGGTCTGCTTGTCCAACCACTGGACTTGTCATATATTGAACATCCGATGATGTGCCACTAGATACGATAATTCCCTACTCGACGAGAGGTCCACACTGGCCCCACTGAGACTGACCTGCGACAGATCCAATGAGAGATGGTCCTCGAGTGAAGTGTCCCTTGTATTGGAGGGCGCGGGCGGGGGGCGGGGCGCGCGGCGGGGGGAGTCCGTCAGCTTGCGCGGCTTGCTGCCCTCCGACGACAGGCGGCGGTGGTACGCGCCCGGGAGGGAGCTCGCGCGGTCACTCCTGGGGAACATCGTTACCATGTAACACTATATGTACCTCTAATATATGTTCATAATGAAGGCCCATAACCTAAAAGGACCTATAAGTTTAGGAATAATATTATGATAGCCCTATATAGAACAGGAATTGTGCCCGGTATATGGCAATAGGCTCACCCCCTATTACATGGGACTCATAACATAAATAGTGAAAAGTGGGTGTTACATTGTACCACTGTACAATGTAACACCCACTTATCACTATTTATGTATACCACTGTATAATGTGCACCTCTGCCTACCCCTTCGAGGATAAAAGGCGTGATGTTATGTTATGTTATGTTATTATGATAGCGATATGTACCTATTTCTATGGTATAAGCCGATAAACGAGCAGACGGATCATCTTATGGTAAGCAATCGGCGTCGTCCGCAACAAACACTAGAGGAGTTTCAAGCCTTTTGCGGTTCAGGAATTTGAAAATGCGATGTAAAGTGGTTACAGCTATATAATTTCTAACGTAAGTTTCGCCACGAGTTCTCCAGTTCGATCGGAGGTAGTACTCCCGCATGGTCTCATAACCAAGGCGTTTTCCTCATCTCTCTTCGCCAAAAACTGACAACGCGCTTGTATCCCCTGTAGAGTTGCGGGCGGCGCTGATTGCTTACCATCAGATGGTCCGTCTGCTGGTACTTACTTCTTGAGTATCTGTTTCCCTGTGACGAGGAAGTCGAGGTGTTGCGGCTTGTTGCGGCGCGGCGTGGCGGCGGCGGGCGGCGACAGACTGGCGCGCCGCCCGGTGCCGCCTGCAGCGCTGCCTCCACTGCTGCGCCGGGAGGAGCGCCGCGACGGGGACTCCTCCTCCGGCCAGCGCTCCGACCGATACATCTGCAACAGTACAAAGGAAAAATACAGAATAGGTACTAAATAATAGATTTAGTGGTCAAAACTGCGATGAATATAATGGAACATATGGACTGGACTTAATACTGGCTTCAGTAGTAACACCCCGATGGTACAAGATATTTTGAAGAATTATAATCTTCTTTAAGTACTTTAGACATTTTGTATGCTTTCATGAAAGAATCTGTGCAATCAAATATAAATTCACAACGCCATCTAGGAAATCACAATAGAACAAATTAAAGATGGCGATGCTCAGAATTTGTTTATTTTAACCAACTGAGTTACATTTTAACAAATATAATTATATAATTGAGACCTGAATTCCTTCAGAAGTTCCAAGTACAATGTACAGTAGATTAGATATTATAATTAATTATTGAAACGCCTGTTTAGAACAACAGAGCAAGGTGTAGCGGTGCTCAATAAACTGTTGCTAACACGACGAGGTCAGGCGCTGACCTTTATTCCGCAACCTGTGTATGTGTGTGTGTCACAGATGTAACTCAGTTAGCTCCTTCAAAGGAGTCCCTATACTTGGCTATACGGTGACCCACAAAGGTGAGTGTATGTGAGAATAACGTAAGGGAGTTAATGTAATTGACCTGCCTGCCTACATTACTAACATTGCCACATTGCACTGACTGTGGGGGCGTTTGGGTCGCAACGTAATATGTGGCAGTTGCCGGGGTGTTTTTGAGCGGAGAAAATTATCCAATGACTTCTCCCGCCCGGGCGAGGCGGGAGCGAGTGTCGATTCCTACTGATTATAAACCACCCCGTTCCTACTCCTGCTCTTCGAGCCGGAGCCCCGGCAACCCGTTAGGCCTTCCGCGGCTACGTATTTGGTATCAGCCACACTGGGCCCCATCTGTGGTGGTCTGATGGCTCTTTGAGGCGCGCGCGGGAACGTGACGCGCCGTACGCTCGGGTCTGGTCCTGGTCGGGCGGCGATCTACCCATACTCACCCTACGCAGATCCACACTTACAAACGTTGTGCGTTCATACTTGACTACCTGGGCTACTTGAATGTCTACAATAAAGCATATATATATAAATAAATATGTACCTACATATGTAGGTCGCCCTCCCACAGACGACACAGGCGACCTACTTGCTTGTTGATCTCATTATTACTCGCAGGAGCCGCGTCCTGCCGCCTACAGATACATACACGCCACTCACAATATTTATAACATAACATCACGCCTTTTATCCCCAAAGAGGTAGGCAAAGATGCACATTATGGCATTTAATGCCACTGTACAATGTACACCTACTTTTCACTATTTATGTTATGAGTCCCATGTAATAGGGTGAGCCTATTGCCATATACCGGGCACAATTCCAGACTCCGTGCTACAACTGAGATGTTTTTTAAAAACCCAGTAATACTTTGCCCGACCCGCTAATCGAATCCGAGACCCCTTGCCCGGCAGTCGCACTTGCGACCACTTGGCCAACGAGGCAGTCACAATATTTATATGTCTCTACCTCTATAATCTATAATAACGATACATTGCACCCAGTACCATACCAGTAGCATCTGCATTACTATACCATTCGAGGCCCGTGACAAAATCATAGGATCCCCCGTTCCCAATACAAAACACAGAAATTCTGATAAAAACCTCTGCATAGGATCCCTTCCAGCTGGGGCGTGTGGTGTTTTGCCAACTAGTCAGTGTCACCGTGTAGTTACGTCACTGCACTGCTCGGTTGGCGGCGGTACAATGGCCGGGTGATGCTGTGCAACCGACCGACATTCAGTAAAGAATTAAAGCAAAAATGGTGCTCACAAACAAGACACAAGTCAAGGATTTAAGTGATGTTTTTTTTATGGCATAAGCCGGTAAACGAGCAGACGGATCACCTGATGGTAAGCTATCGGCGTCGCCCATGGACACCTGGAACACCAGAGGCGTTACAAGTGCGTCACCGGCTTTTTGGGGATTAGGAGTTTGAGGATCATTGGGGATTCAGGGATTGGGGAGATTGGGGGGAGGGTAATTGGGCCTCCGGTAACCTCACTCACACGACGAAATACAACGCAAGCGTTGCTTCACATCGGTTTTATGCTCGGCCGTGGTATCACTCCGGTCGAGCCGGCCCAGCAGTGCCGAGGCAAGGCTCTCCCACACTTGTATGTACCAAAGTCAAAGTTAAAGCACGTATTTTGTAACGACAAACTTGAATTGTCCGTCCGGCTGTCTGTCAGTAAAGCTAGGCCTACCTATTCCGGAGCTGCGGACGATCTAGCAGGTTGCCGGGGCTCCGGCTCGTCGTGCAGGAGAAGGAACGGGGTGGTGTTTAGTCAGTAAGAGTCTGTGTCACTCCCTCCCGCCTCGCTCAAGGCGGGAGCAGTCATTCGATGATTTCCCTCTTAAAACAAAAACTGATCTATCTGTTGGTTCAGTTACTTTAAATTATTTTTAAATAAAAAAGCGCTGCCCCACACTAGGATTGTCTCCTGTGTCGTGTGTGTGTTTACAAACATACAAGTTCACATACACATGACACACAGACACGGAACAACAATCTGTGAATAATCAAAAATGTGCGGGAATCGAACCTACGACACGTTGCGCGGCAGCCGGTTGAGCGTAATGTTTATGTGTTCTCATGTCTAGATACACACGTACATGTACACGTGCTGTATCTGTGTGTATTTTTTTATGGAATAGGAGGCAAACGAGCAGACGTATCACCTGATGGTAAGCGATCAGCGCCGCCCATCACACACACAACACCAGAGGAGTCACAGGTGCGTTGCCGACATTTTAAAAAGGAGTACGCTCTTTTCTTGAAGGTTTGAAGGTCGTATCGGTTCCGGAATACCGCCGACATATATACCGAAGTATCATGTATCCGACAGAAATGCTTTGAAGTAGTGCACGTACAGAGCGCGGTCGTCAAACGAGTAGAGACGACGAAGCGATGCTCACTCAACAGGAACACGTAACGAATGCCGACATATTATGTATTGCTATATATTGCCACAGATGGCACAGATAATATTAGACATTAAGTATTCTATGATTTCAGTAAAATAATAAGTCTGTGGACCATGGACAAGACTTCATTTTTAATTTTTTAGCTTTTATTTTATTTTTATTTTTTAAATATGTTATGTGTGTTCTGCGCAGAAATAAATGGTTTTTCTTTATTTCTTTCTTTCTTCTTTCTAATATGAACAGCTGGAGTTACAGTATCACGTACAGGAGACTGTACTCTGAGTTGGTATTGATCTTACGCCTGAATACTGAGAGACTGTTCAATATTTACCGACTTCAAAAAACGGAGGAGGGACACACATCGAGCTTTACATAACCAGTATAAACTGAACGTTAAATGTGCGGAAAGATGATGCGACGCGACACCAGGATAAACTGGTTTTGTATAGATTGATGTGTAGCCGTGTGTACTATGTTCTACGGATTGTTTTTTTTTTCTTTTTGTTTGTTCGCGCAGTACTCCGCCATTTGTGAACCGATTACCAAAATTTTTTGTTTTGTTTGAAAGGGTATACTCCCGAGATGGTCCCATCTCCATGAGGTCAGGATCTGATGATGGGATCCTAGGGACACCGAGGGGAACTTTCGAAAATTGTAGGGGCGAGTAATGCGTGTATTATGTTTTTCAATTAGGATTTTTAAACTCTACATTTTGTAAGATAAACGTACTGAAATATATATAGTGCCATCTCTGTCACTTTACATAGAATTCATAGAGACAGCACTTAAAATTAAAATCAAGTGGTTTGTCCGTATTCGATCTTGTTGTAATTTAGCTCTCACAATACCGGAGTACTGGGACACATTTCATAGTGGATTGCACCTACATAGTGCTTAGTATGACATACGTACGTACATAACATCACGCCTTTTATCCCCGAAGGGGTAGGCAGAGGTGCACATTACGACACTCAATGCTACACAATGTAACACCCACTTTTCACTATTTATGTAATGAGTTCCATGTAATAGGGGGTGAGCGTATTGCCATATACAGGGCACAATTCCAGACTCCGTGCTACTACTGAAGATTTTTAATATTACTTTGCCGGACTTGGGAATCGAACCCGAGACCCCTTGCCCGGCAGTAGCACATTGCGATCTTGGCCAAGGAGGCAGTCTAATTGTGACCCCTGAGCTTTTACGTAGCATGGGCTGGCGAGCGAGCAGACGGTCGCCCCGCGACGGACAACTGACTGGCCGAGGTGTTCGTCACCACAACAACACTTAGTGATCTGAAGGTCGAAATCAATTACCTATTTCAATTACACGAAGGACTTTTGAACACGATACAAAAACTTTTAAAGTGTCAGTCTGTCGTCCAGTCCTCTTTTTTTAATTAAGAGGGGAAAATCATCGAATGACTGCTCCTGCCTGGGTGAGGCGGGAGGGAGTGTCAGACTCTTACTGACTAAAAACCACCCCGTTCCTTCTCCTGCACGTCGAGCCGGAGCCCCGGTTTCCCGTTAGGTTCTCCGCGACTCATCGTAAAGTTCTCTAGTTGCGCTATTTGCTCGCTTCAATGTGTAGATTCCTATGGAGAAGAACGAGCAAGAAACTCCATAGGTTACTCTTTTTCAATTAGGTTCACAATACAATAGTTAGTTACATTGTGAGGGGCAGGCGGTACACACAAGATACACAGTCAGCTCAGTGTTCCAAGACGCGAGGGGGCTCGCTCGCTCTGCGACAGTACATTGCACTACACACATACACTGGACGACGCTGTTTCAGACCATTGTCTCTATAAGCCCGAACATCTTGTTAATCATCACTACATAGTATAAAACAGAGTCGCTATCCGCATTCTGTCTGTCCCTATGTAGGCTTAGATCTTTAAAACTATGCAACGGATTTTGATGCGGTTTTTATTGACAGATAAAGACATTGATAAGGAAGGTTTATACGTATAATGCATGCATATTGCACCCGTGGGAAGCCGGGGCGGGTCGCTAGTTAATATTATAAAC